TAGAGGCAGGCTTAAAATTAATAGTTTCTGTAACTGCTTTTGAGTCAACTCTATTTTTGACGCAAGACTCAGAAGTAGTCGTTATGATGCTTAAACAATTTTGTGCCTTGGGATTTTATATTTTTTTAGCACTAATGAACATTTTCTACGTATACAGGTTTATGGGATAGGTTCCCAACGGCAAGAACAGTTCAACAGATGATGGAGACAATGGAGAGAATGATGGATGACCCTTTTGCCTATAGCAGTGGATGGCCTTCAGCCCAAGCCGAGACTGGAGGATTCAGTCGAGGGAGGACACCGTGGGAGATTAAGGAAGGCGAAGGAAAATACAAGATGAGATTTGACATGCCCGGAATGACAAAAGAGGATGTGAAGGTTTGGGTGGAGGAGAAAATGCTTGTTGTGAAGGCTGAAAAAGAGCCCAAAAAGACGGGCGAAGATGGCGAAGAAGATGAAGAATGGTCAGCCAAGAGCTATGGGAGATACAGTTGCAGAATTGCATTGCCTGAGAATGTGGAGTTCGAGAAAATTAAGGCTGAGGTTAAGGATGGTGTTTTGTATATAATTATACCTAAGGCTAGTAGTAGTACCAAGATTTTGGACATCAATGTTCAATGAGGGGTGATGTTAAGTTAAAATTTTGTTTTTTATAATGATGAATCCGATTTAATATATATTAAAACGTCTCCTAAATGTTCCTTTATTTGTAATTTTGGATGTGTTATATTACTGTTAGTCGAATAGTAAAAAAAAGGACATGCTTGCAAGCAAAGCACGCTTTCCATTCGCATTTGGGAAGGGAATCCTCCAGAGGAAAATCTGGATAAGGGATTGGAGGCAGATCAATGCCTGGCCGAAAGAGCTCTGCTAGTTCTTTCTTGTAGTCAGGATTGCCCTTTCCCGTGAGAAGGGATTTTAGGTTAAAATTTTGTTTATTGTACTATCGAATCCAATTTAATATATATTAAAACATCTCCTAAATGTTCCTTTATTTGTAGTTTTGAATGTGTTATTTTACCATTAGTCGAATGGTAAAAAAGGGACATAATTGCAAGCAAAGCAAGCTTTCCACTCTATTACTGAAAAATTGTGCTGTTGCTCTTCGATGGTTGTTCTTACTCAAAGATAACTATAATGTGTTACAACGTGATCTCCAAAAGAAAATCAATCTAAAAGTAAAATATTCCGACAATAATTCCTATATGCTTGACTCAAATGAGAATACAAACAGAGCAACGATTCGAAACTATGAATATCATATTTCTGAAAAGATCTTTTAAGGAAAAAGTAGATTTTAAGGTTATGATTGATAAAATAAATAACTTAAAAAGTGGATTTTAATTTCACTTTCTATGGAGTTAAACGAGAGTTATCTCGCTTAATTTTTTATATTTATTTTTAAATTGTACGAGGGGCAGACCCAGACGACTTGAGTCGGAGGGTCAAAAATAAAATTTATAGGTCATCTTCTAATAAAAAAAAAAAAAAAAGCTAAACAAAATTTTTCTTTTTTCCAAAATCTAGATGGTCAATATAATTCCCCCTAGGTCTGCCCATGACTATATCTTTTACTTATTTTAAAGCTGAGTTAACATTCGGAAAATATATACTAGCATGCAGGCCGGAAGGATTTTCAAGATATGGACGAAAGCATCCATGGCTGGATCTTCTTCTTGCAAAACACGCTGATTTTCTCCTATTTCTTCTAAAGAAGAACAAGTCTCTGTAAGAAATACTACTGAACTTTCCCATCTTGATTTGCCAGACATTATTTTACTAAACTGGCTTTTTGATTAGTTATATGTAAAAACTGGGGATTTACGTTACTGCACTTATTTCTTTGCCTAGTTTTGTATTATTGATGTACGTGTAAAATTTGGATTTTGTTGGGCCTACTTCATGAATGAGTAATGCTATTTAATACTACTGGAGTTATAATTTAGTCAGTGTGACGTTAATGTGACACTAAATAATAAATATAATTAAATGAGTCATATAATTTTGACTTTCATCATGCCTGTCACCTAACACCACATAAATTGGGTTATAATATCAACGAGACTAAATAACATTATTTTAAATTGATTATACTACCACATGTGAGAAGTTATGGGGCCGGCTATTTTCCGAATTCTTTGCGAAGTGTTGTCTCGTACTCTAAGAAAATCTTAACACAGGCATTTGTATCATTTTTGCATTTTGGGTGTTTAT